AAAAGGGCGCAGAAGAATAGGAAAGGAATGACCTTGAAGGGTAGGGTTGTCCAACGAGCGGGAATAGCGCGCGCATAGATGCGTAAATTATGCGCCACTTTCTAAATGAAATATGGTATTCCTATCTTTCTTCTTTCTTAAAAAAATACTCGAAGAGCTGGTTTTTGGCGTTAATAATACTGGTAAAACTTGTTCAGTTTTAAACGACAATAGGAATTCTTTTCCACTACATTTTATAGTAAATTCTATTTCCAGTTTTTAATATATTAAAAGTCTATTGATTTGGTAAAGAAATTATTCTGTTTTAATACTGGAAATAGAACATATTTTTTCTATCCATTCCAGGACTCAGGGCTCTCTTGTATAATAATTTATCACCTAATAATATTAGTGAATTGACAAGTTACAAGTTGCTAATTATATTATTACTTACTTTTTTGTAATTTAGAAATTTTACATTTACAATGGAATAATTAGATCATTTGTAATTTGTAAAATTTATTAATAAAGTTTCATCTGTTTCCTTGTCAAAGTGTGGCTTGTGACTTGTAAGATTTTATCGATGTCAGGTTAATTGCGCAAGGAGGATCATATAATAATACAACTTTAAAATCAATTACAAAGTTAAATTTTTAGCTATTATGACAAAATACGAGGTTGAAAGCATAAAAAATGGGAAAATAAATGAAATAAAAGGAAGCTAACAAATGTAATTTATATCAACGTGTATATAATGCAGTGATCTAACATCTGAATATTATTTCAGGGGCTGGTTTGTGAAACCCGGATTTTGGAGTCAGTTTTCCCGAAATCGTACGAAAGTCGTAAGAGGGGAGGGCACCGTGCGTGCGTGCACGCGTGTTGCGTGCAGTAGGCCTACGGTAGATGCACTTTTGGGAAATCATGCATATACGTGGCAACATCGCACAGCGGGCTCACATTCCACGTGATCAGGACCGGTTTGCGGGTGTCGACCCACTGACACTCGTCCACCACAGATAAACCTTGGCCCTGCATATGGGATACATACACCTTACTTCTTTTTATTGCAACACTGAAAATATTCTAACCACTGATGCATAGAAATCCACTGGACGATTAAAATGGCTGCTGTTTTACAATGGTTATACTACCACTCCTACCATTCAAAAATAATATCTATTTCCAAACATTAGAACACGAATTAATTTGTAGTTATTTAAATTTTTAATCTATCTTAACAGGTTAGATTATGCAGCAATTTTCAGAAACAGATTAGAGTTCTAAAGGAATGACTCTATAATAACGTCATAGAATTCCATTTCACTAATTAGAACTATATTCCATCCCCCAATGTGCTCGCGTAAATAGAATATTATTACTATAGAAGAATACCATTAGAGTATTATTATTGTAGAAGAGGAGAGCTTGAAGTTTGATCAGAAGAGTATTGAACGAGAATTATTATCAAATAAATAAACACGCGAGAAGGGTTTGATTCTTACATTAACACCTCGTACAGATGCATGTAAAGGCCTCGGCGTGCATTGCAAGGCCATTGACCGAAGGGATCCCCGATCGATGATCGGCTACCTGCTGATACATTGTTGCCTATACAATAGCGAAAGTATTGTTGGTCCGGTGGGTACCCTCCGGCGTCAAGTGCAATTATTCCGTGTAACCGAGTACACTTTGTTCCTACTGTTCAAGATCTGCTTTGCCTTGTTGCATGACCATTCATTGCAGCTACCGGGTGCAACGCCCCATTCACCTGTGTCATCGGCCTCCACGAGTAATTCTATGTGCATCCTTTCTTTCTATAGTACACAAGTACTATCTCGGAGCAACAGAAATGATTAAAAAGTACTATTACTAAAAATAATTACTAGAAATAATTAATTTTATTAGTAAGGTGCAGAATGTTCTTTTTTAATGTAGTCTTCTAAAATCAGATGGCATGAAAAAATGATTTTATATTGAAGGATTAAGCAGTTCATCATTTTAAGTTTGATACAATTAAATAATAAAGATAATTTGATATGCATTTAATGACATAATCACGTTCTACGAATTTAAATTTTATTCTTTCGCTCAGACGATTGAGGCAAAATTTCGAGACAGTTTTCTAGAGAAGTCAGGAGGACGAGAAGCGTATGTGAAGAGAAACAGGTTCCTCAAGGGGATTGAAAAGCCGCTTGCATGCATCTTTTCAGATGAGACCAGCCTAGATCCACGTAAAGCTCCCTTCCTTACAGATAGCCTACACCTACATGATTCTTCTGTGTATTTTACGTAAGTGGGATGCACATGTGTATATCTAACGGTTCATTTATTTCATTTTCGGTGATCAACGCAATTTAATATTATTTTAAATTATCAGAATTATTTATACAACCTTTATCTCTTCGTTTTCTAGAAGAAAGAAGAAGTAGTCAGAATAATATTTTTAGAACGATGCGACAAAATACGCAAGAATACGGAATCAAGAATTCTATGCTATCTGTAGATAAGCAAACAGTTGGTATCCCTCTATCATCGCTTTGCTCACGATAGATAATGTGCAACGTTGCTATAGTTATCACTAATATGTTCTTCCTATTCGTTCTTTCTTTCCTCTATTCGAGGAGTCACTAACTTCCTTTTTAATGGCTCCTTCGGAACGCACGAAGCAGCCTATGGCTTTTCGTTCGTCCTGCGTTTTTTTAGTGAAAATCTGGTCGTCCTGAGACAAGAGGGAGTAAGCTGGCTGCTAAATCTGGAGCTCCGGCTGGTTGTTTTATTAAATGGAACCGCAACTATTCCAAAATGCCTTGTGCATAAACTAAGATCAATTCTATGATTCCAATTTACTTTATGATTTAAAGAAAACTTCAAATTGTACAATAAACTGCAAATCTTCAATTTTTAGGTAATTCTATAAATAGCGTAGTTGAAATTTAGATTTTGTTAATTTTTTAAATTTAGAAATTCTCCATTTCATTGATATTCGACATTGATTGAGTGAAAATTATTAATAATATTAATAGACAATTAAAACAGTGTTCTCTAGTTTTAGACATCTTCTGAAAGATAAATTTAGATTTGGATTTAGATATCCTACTGAAAGAGGAACGAACATAGCAATTTTATAAATTAACACGAAAGACCAATTCACTATGTGGAAGTAGAAAGAGTCTAGTCGAGGTCGGTGTGTTCAGCCGACATCGAATATGGAATTTTTTCGATGGCGCAACGGTATACAAGGATTCACCTTAACAGCTTCGCATTCCCCCTTTTCCTTCGTCTTTTTCTTCGCCCAAGGGTCTCGTCCGATGGCGCACTCACTAACACATTCACAATTCTATCGATGTCAGTGTAAAACTATGCATACGTGCACGCGAGCACGCAGGAAAACGATTTTCTTTTATCGTGCCCCGCTTTTATCGTCTCTACTTCTTCTTTTGCTGTACGAACTGGTCGAGATAAGGTGGGAATCGAGCCGCATATTTTCGGCCCGTTCTTAATGCGCCACTTCGCGAGCCCTAGTAAACAGGAAACGACGTCCACGTGCGTCTGTTCGTGAGGGAAAGAAGAGAAGAGAGAACTGGCAAGCTTTTTTAGCTATGTTTCATTCAGCCTTCTATTTTACTCCCTATATGAATTTTCATTGCAATCATCACAGTAGATCTATTTTTTTAATTTTCTATGGAAATGAACTTCTAGAAATTTATTACAAAGTAGAAAGAGTTGAATCGAAGAATAGAAAGTTATACTGCTGGTTACGATGAAATACGGTTTGATTTGCCAGGAACATGGGAAAAATTTTCGAAGATTTTATAAGAGGACGTAAGCGCAATCGACAGTTGCATAGAAGCCAGGGCGTGGTAACAATTTTCGGGAACGCATATAGACACGCAGGTTTCTCGTACCTTGCCGCACATTAGTCCACTGATAATTAGTGATGGTCTTAAGATGCCTCTTCAGTTTTCACAATTTTTAACATCTGTATCTCTCTATCTATACGTATAAATCCTGGAAGATTTGCAACAAATCTCCTAATTTTACTAAAAGGTATATTGTCGCTCTATTCCTTAACTATCTCCATTAGTTTGTAAAGTGAGAAGACTGAGTTTAAAGTTTATGAAGTTTAACGTTGTAAAGGCAGGGAAGGCTTAAGTAAACTGAATATTTGTTGCTTTCTAAATAGAATTTTCATCATATTATCATGAATTTGTATTTTATATACCAATGAAATATATTCATGCAGGAATACTACAATAAAATACTCATTCATTTCAGGATCATTGAAACAATACAGTGTCAACTAATACGAAGAGGCAATTTTGTAATTGAGCAAGATAATAAGAATTTTTAAATACAAAATGGTAGAGAAGTCATGATAAAAATTTCGAGGAAATAAAAAAGTTGAGCCGTTGCTCGAAAACTTGCGAGAAACAGGGAATCTAATATCCATCGCTAGCGCTGATACGCGGGTGAAAGACGTGGGTGTACACATACGATGCCGCATAGTCATCCACGCACGCACACGCGTGCAAGCATGCACCACTTAGATGTGTATGCATCGTACCCCGCAGGATATTGGCCTAGACGCAGTGTGATTGGCCGATCATGCAACCAGGGGCGACGATGCCTCTGCAAGACTCCTTGTGCGTGCTATTCAGTGGCGTAACTTTGCCATCTATATATTTTTTAGCTTTTTTACGCCCTTTGAAGCCGAACTTCAATGGTATAAATACTACATAGCACAATTTACACCAATAAAATAGTATAATATTACAGAAAATATGAAATTAAAATTGCAAGTCATTATCAATATAAACTATCATAGTTTAAAATTACATTCATAATATCTTAATTATACAATTTGGCTCATTTCTGAAACTAATTTATCTTTAATGAATAGATAATGAGTAGTGATAGAAGCATACTGCAAATTGTTATTTGTTATTAATAATACAATAATATAATCAAATATATAGTTAGATGCAACAAATTTTGCATTCTGAAAACTAGCAAGATTTGCAGTTAAATATCTAGGGATTCAATGAAACATTAGTTTCTTCAGATTTCGTTACGAACAGACTATGGTTCGCATAATCTACTCATTAAAACAAACTTGTTAATCGCCTAGTTATTTCGTTTCTGTTGGACAAAGTTATTTCGTTAATCGTTCTCGGGTACCGTTCATTTCTTGCTAATGCATTTCATTCATTAATGATACGTCATTTAAAAGTCCTAACTAGAATATTTCGCATAAAGGGACGTCAGTTACGCCACTGGATATACGCACACAATGACGACAGACGAAGCACGAACGCACACGTATGAACACCCCTATGCGAGGAGAGCCATGACCAGCTCGGCCTAGTGCGTCTTCCACGCACGGCTCGTCAGTGGTCGCCGAGTAGGCCGTGGGAGAGGGTTTCTAAATACGTTAAAGCTTGCTTTTGCTACGAGTGTGCACTCGTATCGTATCGACTAGCGACACCGCTGCTTTCAAAGATACTATAATCATCATCAGGAATGCACCAAACCTCGAAAGAAACTAATGTGACGATTGCGAAAACAAAGCTTTAGTGAAGATATACAAATATCGAACAATACACATGTTAAGAAAGACAAGGACAAACATTTGGATAGCAATAGAAGATAAAACCAAGACGACAGTAGAAGACGAAGATAAGAACTTTCGTGGGTGAATTTTGTTTTTGTAAATTAGACCGTGTACATGATCTGTTCGCAAAATGATTGGCTATTACTGGTGAAGATTAAAGGGATGTGAAGAGATTTGCTTTGATCGGCGGTTTCGCGTATACACGCGCTTCCGCGCGCTATGTGCAGTCACTAGGGGTTGGATTCTTTACGGCAACGTTTCTGTCGTCTGGCTTCAACGAAATTGAGTTACCAATGCGAGTGCACACATATGCTAACTAATCGTACATCTCCTAACGTACTACTCGGCGGCCATTTGAACAGTTTCGCCGTACTACGCCAGAGTTTTGGAAATGTAAGTCTTCGGAATACTATGTCATAGATGTTTCAGAATTATACTAATAAATTCTTTTCTAATTTGTTATATACGTACGTAGACTTGTCATTATCAATGTTTACAATATTTTATATTTCATGCAGTATGCATCGTGGATTAATGTTTGTCAATCATTAGTAAGTTTTATTAATAATAATGTTTGTAATAATAATTGTTTACATATTTTTAACGTGTTTTTTATTTCTTAGTTTTTGCTCGCTGAAGCTTAATTTATTCATCGCAAGATCAATGTTGCTCGAATTTTAACTTCCGCATATGCGTTATAGCATAACACGCGTCTTGCACATGCGCAGTATCCGATTGTTAAATGAGGGTAGTTTCACAAGCATGACTCATACCTCGTAAAACATTATGTCCCATGAATTTCATTTCCAATTAGCGGTTCAATTGTTAAAGGATGCGTAAAAAGCACCTCCTAAAACATTTTTACATTTTTATTTTGTAAATTCCAGTTTACCGTGTCCTATAATTTTACAAATTAAAAAATTAATCGTGTTCGATGCTTATTAGTCAGTTCTAATCATATAATAGTAAATAATTAATTAGTGTTAACCTCGTTATTCGCAATTTCTTTCAGAACCCGCTTTGCTAATTGAGTTAACCGAGATGGCGAGTACCTCGCAGCAGTACTGTTTGCGTTGGAACAATCACCGCTCTAATTTACTGACAGTGTTCGATGAGTTGCTGCAAAATGAGGCATTCACTGACGTGACTTTGGCAGTTGACGGAGGCGCGTCTGTCAAATGCCACAAGATGGTCCTAGCAGCATGTTCCTCCTACTTCCAAACTCTGTTCATTGACTTGCCATGCAAGCATCCTATCGTCGTATTGAAAGACGTGAAGTATTCTGAGATCAAAGCCATCCTGGAGTATATGTACCGAGGCGAAGTAAACGTGGCTCAAGAGCAATTGGCTGGGTTATTAAAAGTCGCGGAAGTACTAAAGGTGAAAGGGTTGGTTGAAGAAAATGGCCCCCAAGGTCGTCGTGACGAGGTTGAAACCTCTATGTCACCTCCTCCAGCCATAAGCACCAGTACAACCAGCAGCGCAGCTCACAGTAGCGATCATACGTCTCCTCCACATTCTACGGGGACTACTTATGATATTTATGGCAAATCACCAGCTGATAGAAGTAGCCGTTTACCGCTGCCAATGTGGCCTCTACCAGGGATTCCTATCACTCATTCCAGCTCCAGTCACCAGACGGCGACACATCAACATTCTGCCATGTTAAGCGGGTCATCATCCATTTTAACCGGTTTTGAGACTTCTCCATTGAAACGCAGGAAACTCTCAAATATGTTAATGAACAGAGACACGCCGATTCTCAGAACGGTGCTGGGTCAAGGTCACGCGGATAGTTCCCAAGGGATTCCCCTCTTGCACCCGGATAGCCACGAAAATCAGTTCAGAAGCAACAGTAATGGCTCCTCGAATGAGAATGACAGGCGCAGTAGTACGGATGTAGTTCATGGGGATCCTGCACATAGTCCTTATACTGATGTGTCTATAATGGATGAAGACGATAAGCAAGCATCGCCACAGTCATATATTCCAGACATTAAACCAGGCAAGAGAAAAGAAATTAATATAAAAAATTCAATTTTCTTATGATTTAGCAGCTAAACTTTGTTAATACGTTATACTATAAAACTTATTTTGAGTTTGCTTCATTTTAATGAACCAATCAGCTTCAGTATTAATACCTGTTTGATATATTTTTCTTTTTTAAAATTATCCACACAAAAAAGTTCAGTAGCGTGGAATTGACAGAAGTTCTAAATGATTTATGTTTATATAACATTTTGTGTTTGAATATACCTGTAAAATGTACTGTCAAAATTTTGCTATTACTCTATATATTACTGTTATTAAATATAAAAGAATATATGTATATCATAAATCAAATATTAAACACAATTAATACTTTTTGTTACAGGGATGGTTAACTACGTACCAGCGCAAAAGCCAGAATGGAAACGGTACAAGCAATACACGAGGGACGACATAATGTCTGCGATCGAGGCAGTACGTTCGGGAATGAGTGCCCTCCAGGCGGCACGTAAGTACGGAGTACCCTCTCGAACTCTTTACGATAAGGTGAAAAAACTAGGAATCACGACATCACGACCATTTAAACGTGGCTCGAATGGTAGTGGCGCCTGTTTTCCTTACGGAATCGGTGGTAACGCAAATGGCAACATCTACAGCGGTGCCCTCTCGGAAAACGAGAACGAGAGTGGCAGTGTGATCGAGGGTTCTGGATCTATCCTCGATACATATAAGTCGAGAGACGGTCTTGTAGACCGGGAGATGTTGGACGCCAGTCGTTGTACCTCTAGCCCCATAGTGCATTCCGTGAAACAGCAGAACGAAGATCAAGTCGAAGATCTCTCTATAAGTCGTAAGTCGGATGTTCGTGTGATAGTCCCACCAACCTCAGTGATCAAGGACGAGGAGGATATTGGCTCTGATTCGTGTAGTCACAATTAACCTAGGTTTACTATCTTATCTCTCATGATTACCAGGCTATACCTCTGACAGATACTAAACGTACTATTACTCAGTCCGTTATCTCATGGGAACTGTTCGAAAAGTTTCCAAATAATTTAAGGGCATTGGATTTTAGAAGGAGTTATACGCAAGTATCCGTAGTGTCCCGTGAAACGAAAATACGTTCCAGCTTCGTAATATAACGAATTTAAAAAATTATCCTATACTTGACGATGATCTGATTGTTCGTTTCACGGGAGATCCCCCTAGAGACAATCACAGACTTGTGTGTGCCTCAGAGAGAGCAACAAGGCGATATAAATGGATTAAAAGACGCAACCAAACAGAAGCCAATTAAGTAAGTCAACGTTTAACAAATAACTCAGGGATCAATAATAGAGTGTCGTCGCAAAAGTAAGTCATAAAACATACGTATATACATAAGGAATCTGGTATATGAGGTTCTTCTCAGATTACCTTGCACAAGACTGATTCATGCGTTATGAGTTCAAGAGACTGAAGTATAATCAACGATTGTGTTCCGAAGTTGTTAAAGCCTAATGCTAATAAGGAATATAGTGCCTTCTCATATTGACGTACTTTAACAATTTAAAAGAAAGTATCAGTAGTTCATTAAAAGTTGTTAGTGATAAGGAAGAAAAGCTTTGCAAATGTTCTTACTCGAATATTTAATGAAATTGATGACATTTATATATACATATATATATGTTTTTGTTTTTTTAGCTTATTTTAATTTGTGAAGTCTTGAAGAAATGCGTTTTAATCAGATTAATCGCAGAAACGGGCTTTCGATGATACGCGAAAGATCTTCAAGATTTTACAAACTAATTTCGAATCGCATTAAGCTTTAAACACTTTTGAACTATTGAATATATATATTTGTTTTTTTTTAATTCAGTGTAATCATTGTGATTCGATATTCTCGTTTTTTTCTCATCTAGCAATCTACATAGTAGTAATATTTTATAATCTTCATTGATTTTTATAGAATATAAATGCCGCGTGAAAGAAAAAGGTGAAGAGATTGTATATTGTTTTAATAATTTTGTTTTTAATTCTTTTTTTTCTTTTAAGAGAGATTTTCTATCTTTAGCATTAAATGCTGTCACTAAGACATAGATTATATATACAAACTATATATTATATACATGTATACATACATACATATATATATATTCTGAAAAAGCATAAAGAAAGAGAAAAAAAGGATGGAGTTATACACTTTGAATAATTTCGTGTTATTGACTGATGATATCGCTGTTAATTTGTTGCTAATTATAAGAATACATTAGCGTTACTGATCAATGGCCCTGGGATACAGCTGCAATATTGCTCAATATTAATGCATAATAACATACGAATGAAGTACCTCTAAATATTAATGCATAATAACATACGAATGAATTACCTCTAAATATTAATCCATACATGGATTAATACTACCTCGAAATATTAATACATAATTACACGGAACGAACTACCTCATTGTACAACGAACAATAGTGTTCATTATTAACGTTAAGACTGATAGAGCCGAACCTACATTATTATATATATTGTCTGCTATATTATATTATATCATATTACCTACGTATAGATAGTGAAGTAATAAATTTAAAACATACGTTACGACTCACATGTTCTTTTTGAAAATAGATTTAAGCACTTTTTATTTTTCAGTTATAATTCTTTTCACTGAAACGTGTTACTGAAATACAAAATGCAAAGTGAAAAATTTGGAAAGTATTCATTTCTTTATCAATAATATTAAAATAGAACGGAAAACAGAATTTGATAAAACAATCATCCTGAGTGAACATGGAGAAAAATACAAACGCAAGGCAATGTATTTTCAAAGAGAATACCGTACTTCATAGAAGAAAGTTGCGTGAATGAGTGATATCCAATGTGTGACGAATAATATGTTTAATAATTATTCCAAATCAACAAATATCAATTGCATAACAATTTCAATAGATTTGTTTAAAAATTTATAGCGCCAAACGACCATTTGAAATTTTCCTGTCCTCCCGCACTGGGTTGTTATTGGTTACTTTTTTCGCGGGAGAACAACTTTGCGCAGTTGGTAGTAGTATGTGCTGTTTGGAGAATTATTTAATAGTGGTGACGAATAACACGAAATTGTAATTTCACCTGAATATTTTGCTTTCTATTTTTACAGCATTTTACATATTTTATAGCATTTTATTATTATAACAATAGAATTGTAGAATAATGAAAAATTGAACACAATCAAGTGTCTCAAAGCACTCGAGTGTCAGATGAAATGACAATTTCTTGTTACTATTGCATATAATAAAATTATCACACTGTACCTGTACGCTGATCGCGATGCGATTGTAAAATAGAGAAATAATGTTTATACAGAATGTTTTAGAAATCATGGCACAATGATGATAAGGCAGCGATTTTAAGATAGAAAATAAGTCGAAAATGTTGAATGAAATTTATTGTGGTCTTAAGTGGATATACTGCGGATTTTTATGCATTTATGAGAAATTTGGAGGCGCAAAAATACACAAAATGCATACGATATACAGAAATATACCTTTGGTGAGCTGGTAAGTGAATATAAATCAGAATCATTAGTTTTCCAGATAAGCACTTATAATATTTGAAGTGCAATATAAGGCCAGGTGTTAGATTTTGAATATACTATTAGAATGATAAGCAAATGACAGTAATGTGAATTATATTAGCGTAAAATATCCAAAATAGAATATTTATTTTAATATTTAGCAGATGAAACAAATTCCTATTTAAATTTTATTTCTATAGTTATGTTTATAAAAATACAAAAATTCATAAAAACCAACAATCTATAAACGGAGAAACTTTATTCTATGCTTCTAACTTATTTCACGTAGAATAAATGCTGACTGTTTACTCATAACCAGCCGGTAATTAGCAAAGTTCACATGATCGAATTTTGAAGTTTGATTTTATTGAAAACAAAGTGCCACGTGAAAAAATTTCATTCCATATTCTCGATTTATTGACTCACTATATATATATACTGTAGTATAGTATCCCTTCCTATACCATGATATTAGAACACCTTGTATACAAAAATGACTGATTTCAATATAGACAAATATTGAGGCCATATTGTAGCGATAGAAAGAAATATTAAAATTGAGAAAGATAGAAATATATAACAATGCCGAAATAGATATGCATATAACATGCCTAACCAGGCAAAAAATAGTTCAACCGAAACAAATATTTAGACTGAGATATATTTAAAAGACTATACAATGTGTTCAAAATAAAGAGAGAAAGTATATAGTTGTAAATTAAAAGTGCAAGGTGCTCAAGAACATATCAATGAATTTCAAAATTCGCGCTCGAAGATGTCGTTAACAATTTTTGCACAGAATAATGAACTTAATGAAGAAAAGAGGTAGAAAACAACAAATTGAAGCGTATTTAATAATAATTAATATATAGAAAATTGTAAGATCATTCGAATGGTTTAGATCAAAATTATAAAAATGATTTAGCATAAAATGTTATGGGTTTTCTTACTTATATGATATAAATTTTAAATGGTACATAAATGCAATTTTCGATGCCTTACGAAATTAAAATAAAGAATTTTAATTACAATAATCGCCAAGTTAAGATTGTACATAATCATCTTAAACAAATTTGTGGCATAGAATGTTGTCTTTTTTTCATAGTAATTTTATCATGTACATTTAGCATCGTATTATTTTTTAAGACTGACTTTTCTGCTATAAAATAATGTACACTTATGTACATGTACACACATACATACATACATATATACACGTATACATGAAAATGCACTTTTAATTAATTGTAAGTTTCTAATGTTTGACACCCTTGACAAAAACACGGAGTTTTCTATCTCCATTATGTGGATGTATGTTACTAGGATTGTACAAGTTTGTTATAAAATATATTACTCTGAGAAACTCCTGAGAAAATGGTTTTTCTTTGTATATTAATTAATATATGTTTAAGATTTATTTTTTAACAATAAACCGGTAAATAGTTGAAGAAATTTCTTTTCAAACCACCAATCTGATCAACTTATTACAAAGTCCTATATTTTGTATTATTAAATAACATGTCGTTCCCTACATTATCGACAGAGAAGATAATATTAGTACTCGTCTGTACTCTATTAATAACAATCGAAAACTGTTTCCTGTTCAAATTATGTACCTTAATTTGTATTAAATGGTCTAGACTACTTAAATCGATATTAGTCACGATTAACTCACTATAATAATAAAATGTAGATCAGAGAATATTATAAACAAAATATTATATATATAATTATAAATTAACGATAAAGACCTCGTTAGTTAATTAACAATGAATAATTTAAAATATATTTAGTGAATTTTTTTCTTGTTCAAAGGCAACGTTGAGACCAGTTCCACTTATCTTTGAAGAGATTTCACTCTACGTGAAAACCCCTTCTTGATCGTCGTCGTGTCAGGAACAGTTCACCAATATCCCCGCAAGGAAAACTTTCAATCAAACGACGAGACAGCCAGCCCTCAGCTGATTATAAAACAACCAACGAATTAACTTTGTATGGTAATTAAATGATAAAACAACATCTTTGCAGCAAGACACGTTATCAGTTACAAGTGAAAGGACAATTTAGCGTTAACAAATTTGAAATTAGCTTGTTAATAAAATTTTCATAGTTATGGGAAAGTACTATTAAATGGTACAAAATTTGATATACTTGATCTTAATCGATTTATATGTAAAGGCTTTGATACATAGAATGATGGATATCGATATGGAGAATGATAGATAGATGAATATCTTTTTGTAGCCACTGTAGAAAGAATCAGGAAGAGATGAGGAAAGTTAAGGACAAATAGAAAAGTAAGAGAGACCGAAGAAAGCAAAGACTTTAGGACGCTAGAAAAGGACAAGAAGAGGCGAAACAAAATAGGAGAAGAGCCGGTGAGAGCTAGGAAGGTTAAGTAGAATCAGGAAAGGGTAGAGATACTGAGGAAGGGTTAAAATGGCTCGAGATACCAAAAAGAGTAGAAATGAATGGTAAAAAGTGTCAGGAGCCAAGGAAAGGTAAGGGGAACCAAGGAAAGGCAAAAAATCAGAAAAGGATAAGACTAATTAAAAAAAGACGAAAAGGTGGCACAAAGAGGTAGGGTGAGTAGAAAGAAACGGAATTGCATGACTACATCGACATCCTGGACCAGTCGCTAAGATGATCAAAAGCCACAGACTGTGCCGGATTATCCTAGGTCAGTACGCTTGCTTCTGGTCATCCCGCGCTCCACAGTGTTCTGTACGTTTAATAAGTCTCATTCCAGGCTACGCGCACCAAGAGAATAATTATGGGCTTGCGCAGATCGTTCACCGGGGGTGGGGGTAGGTGGCTAAGGAGAAATAAAGCCTCGAGCCCAGGCGGTGAATGCGGCCACGGATTGCGAAATTTCCCCGGCCCGTTTCGTCCTCCCGGTTAATCGTAGGACCTCCATCCGAGTCAACCTGCTCTCTTGTCCTTCCTGTTTACGGTAAGCTCTTTGATCTCGCGTCTCTCATTCATCAACGCGATGATTGAAATAATAAACCAGTGACGAATCGTAATTCCGGGATGTGTGTGTGTTGAGATATTTTTTTCTGGGACTTGGTGTTTTTCAGGACACGTTGGAATATTGGCAGCTGCTCGCGACGTTTTCCTGGATGCTGAGGCATGCGCCCTAAAAACTCTGGAATTGATGTATTGCAGAGCGCAGGTACAAATGAGACGAGTTTCGCGTGTGTGGATCGTATCCGCGCTTCCTGTCCGTGATACGCCGACACTCGCATGTTCGAAAAAGAATTCTTTCACTCCATTTCATCTAGGTATCTCTTATGTACCCCTGTTTGTACTTTCTCTCATGGCTTTTGTAGATCTGCATTTATTACCTGCTGTGGACAGCGACGCTTACCTTAGAACAGGAAACCAGTACCGCGAAAAATTGGGGCTGCCCTGCAGAATGCATTTGCCTATCTCCGAAGCAGGTAATTATAGGATGCTTATAAAACAGGAAACGGCAATTTCATTGGATCATTCCTAAAACAGTAAAAATTCGTAACATAACAAGGTAAAGAAATCGAAGTTTAATTTGACATGGATTAAGAGCTCAATAGGAATTAGTTTTCCGTGTTTATCCGCAATTAATTAGGCTTCCGAAAGAGATATGCGTTACATAGAGTACCAGCCAATCGCATGCTACACTACTCCATGTGCGGACACAATGGTCTTTGAGAATTAGAAGGCAAAGCCTAGCTGAACATAGTCGTGCACGTAGGGATTCCAAGAGGAAAGCAGGATTCCAGGAAATTAATTAACCACCTAGAAATCAAATGCAGCATCGTAACATAATTTACTACCAAAAAGAAAAACATAAATGGCTTTTCTAAAAATGAGAATCTTCTTTTCAAAGTATCCAAAAAAAAAATTCTCTTTTCTTTTTCAAAAAATAACGGACCAACAAATTTTACAGGTTCTCTGCAATACAGGTGGGTTAAAAGACATTCCTACTCAGCAGCTACCACAAACAGTGGAGGAGCTCTCCCTGACAAAGAACAACTTCCCGGTAATAAAAGGCGACGCATTCGCCGGCTTGAGAGTGCTGCGAAAGCTGACGATGGATGGTAACAACATCTCAACCATACGACCATTCGCATTTCGAGGTTTGAGCAAGTTACGTGAACTCTCCATTCAACATACACCTCTACCATTCATCGAGAAATTCTCTTTCGCCGCTCTACAAAACGTATCATTATTATTATTGGCGAACAACAAGATACGATACATCGAAGGCTACTCATTCGCCGGCACCTCCAATGTCCGTTTAATTCTATTGAGCAATAACCCGTTGCTCAGAATTCAAAGCCACGCGTTTTCAGGCTTGACGAACGTGGTTCGCCTGATATTCCCATCAGGAATAAGAACGATCGAGCCGGACGCATTCGATGGCCTCCAGTATATTGGTCTCCTAAAGTTGACCTACATGGACCTGTCTTCCCTTCAATCTTACACATTCCGTGGCTTGTCCTATGTACAATCGTTGAACATTCAGGAAAGCGATTTGGGCATCGTCGAGAAGGATGCCTTCACTGGGCTCACCCACGTTGATCGACTGAATATCGTAAATAACAAGATCGATCTGATCGAGAAATTGTTTCTAAGGTATGAGAACAATATAGATATGTTAAGATTTCATGGGAATCACGTATTGGAGGCGCCTCGACATGTCAAAGACATCAACCTGGAAGTGAATTCTATCAGCGCCATTGATAACCACTTTCCCTGCGACTGTCAGGCTCACAATGTATTGGACAGCGATTTTGTCAATGGCACTGTTAGCGAATTTCAAAAGAGAAATTATTGTATCTCGCCAATCGAATACAACGGGAAACACATGGACCTAGTAGACTTCGGACTAGTCGCCAGATGCTACGACAACGTCGTGCAGGACAACTTGGGCTCCGGCGTCGTTGGGATCTTCACGCTGCCAACCACTCTGTTCCTCATTCTTCTGTTCCCCATGAATTTATTCCAGTGAACCCAGGTCTGCTTCATAAGGGTTAGACAAGAGAATTTTCGAAAGTAACGTATACCAAACTTTTCCTATAATTCTTTCTCATTTAAATATTTATGTATTTATACACATAATAGATCGTTTCATATAATACAGATAACCTACAAACTGATACATTTTTTTGATCTTATTTCACATAAAACATCGAGATAGATCTACACCAGTTGCAGATCCGATAGAGGTTTAAATATCATTGCGGCTCCATTTCGTGAAGTCACTATCAAGGAAATTTTTCTATCGTTCGATTATTATAACTCGTACAATCTTAAGCATGCGACTATGAGCTTTAACTGGCCCATGTAACTGGGCTGGCGAAACCGCATCCATTTGGATTTATTCCGTAAACTAAAGGTGATTCCGAGTAAGTGACTTGTTCACGTTTATCACGTCATATTATGTTAACCCTTTGTTTTATATAAGCTTTCTTTCAATTATTTTTAACCCATTCGAGGCCAAAATCTTATTAAAAGAGAATTTCCAAGAACTAGCAGGACCAGCTTTTGAAGTTCCTACTAAATTCCTTTTTATCTCAGAATTTAAACCAATATCTATTTCAATGCTTACACAATTTTCCCACCATCTGATTTCTGTAGAAAATTATTTTACTAGCATCTTCTTGAGACTGGTATCAAGACCCACAAGATGCGTCCGCCTCGAATGTGTTAATTATTTAAGAAATTTGATTGAATGCCTTAATATAAATAATATGTACTGCCACGACTTTTTAATGTACCTTTGAATGTATGAAGCAAAGAGTTAACAACCAGAGTTGAATAGATAATTTACGTCGATGATAATGAAAGTACATAGGGAGTAAGGATATAATAAGGTGAACTTATGTAAGAAACCTTTGGTGAAAGAGTCAAGTTTTTCCGTAACCCAAGGGAAATAAATAGCGCTACTCGTGTTTTGTCTTAGAAAAAGTTAACTCTCAGTGGAATTCTCAAAATATTTTACATTTACCAGTATTTTTTATCATTTATTGAATACCACATTTATTATTATTGAATTTGGGAAATTAGTTGAAAATATCTCGATTCTCTGAGAGTTAACCAATCATGTGAATTCTACATGTGCGTAGTCTTCCTTAGGTAAAGAAACCGCTCTAATAAAAAATTCGATTTTGTTATGTATATTTGAAAAGAATAATATGAAGTTCTTCAGGATAGTTTATCTTCAGATTTTTATTTATTTTTAATAAAAAATAAGATATATTTCGCGGCCTAAATTATTTCCTTTTACTGATTATAAATTTGTATTATTTTAACACGTACAAGAATAAGGGCTATTTACAAATATTTCATTGTTTCACCGAAGTTTAAACTAAAAGTCTAAAACCGTGCTTTTAACTACGAAAAAACGAAAAGAGAGAAATGTTTTTTCCTCTTGTCATTTGTAATGTAAAGTCTGCGTGGCCTTCGGTCAGCATAGTAACCGAGGACCAAACTAGCTTATATTTTTTACCAACATCAACCACATGACGTATAACAAAAAATAATAATATAAAATAATATAATATAATAAATAAAAAATAATCTGTAACCTTTTATTGTAGTTAGAGAGATCTGTCATTTAATAAATGATTAAAAAAAGATTTGCAGCAATTCTTATTGCATAGACTGACAGTAGTGACATATAATTTCTATACAGTGTGTACAAAAAAAATATTTTTACACAAAAGTAATAACCAGAATTCAAATACTATACAGAAAATTATAACAATTATAACAATATAATTTTATACTAGTTCTTTATTTAAATCAGAACACTCGTTTTTTTCTACAAGCTCTAAATGTGAACGCTTTATTTTGGTACAGACTTCACATCAGGAGGGACACCTAACTGTAATTCTTCAACCTCAAGTCTGTTGACTACATATGGTTCAACTACCCATGCCATTACTTTTTTAAAATCAGTCGGCATTATTCCTAAATCTTCCAAAGTTGGTAAATTTGGGTCTATTTTATCAGTGGCATGATGCTAAGAAATTAACAAATATTCTACTTAGTTTTAATGGATACACTTATTGATAATTTAAATTAATTACAAGTTTTGAATACTTACAAATTCCAATATTTCCCATGATAAATCTATAGTACGATGTATTGGAGCGATCAATTCTGCAAATGTAACTTTCATCCAAAAGTATGGGTTAATCTTTATATTTCCTATCACCATGTAGTTTCCGACGTATTTCATTTTGATATCAAACATCATATTAATTAGATTGTTTAATTTGTACCTTTGTGAACTGAAACAAAGTATATTTTATATTTTTATACATATAAGCTTTATTAGCAATATTATGTATACTACATACCCAATAAATTGGTAAGTTTTACCAGCAGTATCAGGATTCCTTATTATCGCCACAAGGCCTGAAATTACATCATGAATGTACACTGGTTGCTTTTCAGTATTTTCTCCTTTTCGCCACAATGGTATGCTATTGTAAAAAACGGATTTCATGTTATTATAATATTATGGTTCATGTTATTATACATATATGTAGGTCATAAACAATTATAATTGAACATACTATTCGAAGGTCGTTCTAATTGGACTCATATAATGACTGACAAATGTATCCATGGGTCCATATATAACTGATGGTCGAACTATAGTAGCTTCTGGGAATTCTTCTCTCACTGCAATTTCACCTTTCCATTTTGATTTTAACATCTTCGAACCACCTTGTATCATCATTGGCTTAAAGAAGAGAATAAAATCTGATATCATTAAAAATCATTATTTGAAATGTAATTGATAAAAGTAATGATACAAAGTTAGAAAATCACATATCAAAATTAAATTATATATATATATATATATATATATATCCAAGCCTTCTACAGAATAAATTGATAGTATTGAGAAGATAAGAACTAAAAACTTCAATCTAAAACAATTCTAAAAATTGCATATAATCCTGAATATCACAGTATCATGCTTTAATTTATAACTTTGTTACATCTTATCTACCAACTATATAGTTTAATTCAATTGGCCTACTGTAGGTTTCTCTTCCGCATTTATGCATGACATGTGAATGAAACGCTCCACATTGCATTTCTTGGCAAGTCTAGCCAATGTTCTTGCTCCTTCTACATGCACATCATCAAAACTGAAATTTGACGTCTCATAAGTTTGACCAATCAAATTAATAACAACATTGGAATATTTTATAGTCCTGATTATTGATTCCTCATCTCTAAGATCAAATGGATGATAGTAGACTTGTCCAAGATCTCCACCTACTTTTAACTCTTTTACGTGATATGGATCACATCTATGTGGAAGAATGAGCTGTAAAAAAGCATTTAACATAAAATATGAATTTTTTAATTAAAAGATTTTTTTTATTTACTTGCCTGAGTTCCAATTTTCCCTAGCCTGATACTTAAGGAATTTCCAACAAAACCACCACATCCAAATATTGTACAAACTATACCATTGAAAGAGCTACGACCGCCAGTACCCCTTTTCAAATTGGCTGTAGTAGGATTTTTAATAATTCTTGGTTGTGAAGAATAATCGTAGCTCTGTACTGCATAAGTGACAGGGCCCACATTTTGATTCTCTACGTGTCACAAGTTAAATCATTATTGCAACATAAGTATAATATAATTATGTATTATTACATAAGTATAATATAAGTTAATGATGCATTTACAATGTATGTAGATTCTGAAACAATGATTTTGTTCAAATTGCTAGCATGTTATCATTATTGAACTGTCATCGAAATAAAATGATAAACATGTGAAATTAACAAACTTACTTGCCACCCGTACGACTTTGAGAATCCAAGCCGCCATATTTATCATTTGTCACGAATAGTGATATACATAGATTCGTAAACGTTACGCTTCCTACGTTAACAGGAAGCAGTAGAGAGATCGCCAATGCAATATTAATAACGTCAGCCCAAAAATGCTATCTAATAGGAAGGACCTTTAGCGGCAAACAATCGAACCGGTGCTCTTGGTGGACAATATGTACATATGCACAGCTAGAGGGGAAATGTGTTTTCGCATTGGGGATCAGCGAAAGATAAGGGTCAAAGCAGAATTCTGTCGAAATTTCAATTTTGAGAAATTCCTGGAATATGACATCACTTGTTGTATAATTGCCAAAATTTGTGCATTTGTATCCTCGACCAATGGAATTCATTTAAAAATGACAATCAAAATCTCATATGCTAGACGCAGCGTTTTGCTACTCGTTCCGATCCAAATGAGTGATCCGATGCAAACGAGTGATCTTTTTCCGCATGATATCGCTACGATCATATGCTTTTCCTTATTCTCGCAGTTAAAAACAACGAAAACAGACATAATATCATTACAACGATATCGCGCGGACAAAAGTCGACTTATCTGCATCGAACTAAGCGTTTATTTTTGGTCCATTCCGTACAGCCCTGTTCGGGCTCATATTTCTCCTTTCGCCAAATATACGTATGTTTCTCTCACTAAAAGCACCTAAGAAAATGTGTGTATAGTTCGGGCATTTAACCACTGGGGAGCGGTAATTCGTAGAGCGTATTTTTTACATGATCACATGAATGTTGGTTGAATTCCTTTCATGCTCTTCCGCGATCTTCTTGCTTATCTTTGTCCAAAAAAAAACTAATTTGTGTTTCATTTGGCTTAAATGCAAAATTCAAAATAGAGTCCTGTCCTGTTAATGTAATTTGATTTTTTCCTATTAATATTAAGTAATATTAAGTGAATGCGGAGGATGAATTAGAGCATGCAAGGAAAACTAAAGAAACGAAACTAAATTACAAAAGTTTCTTTGATCAGTCACTAATAATTTTGAGCGCAGCATAATTGAAATAAATTTTTATATCATACTGTTCATATGTAATATTTAATTAGTACCTCAGTATTATTAGTATCAATATAAGTTACAATGTCATCTTACACAATTTAACGCGAAGTAAATAATATTTTTTCCCAATGCGATGTATTTCGTATATGTATTATTACATATCATAGATTATATATTATATTGAAAATTATATTTAATGTGAATTATTGTGTATTTCTCTAAATTTATTAAATAAACCAATATTCTTAAAGGGAATATGTACAAGCTGGTATTATATATTTCATACACATGTATAACTGACATTCATAACTAACGGATATGTAACGTGAATATGATGCATATAGTAAATGTAATGCAATGAATCTAATAAATGTAATAAAGAAGGATATAAACAAAGAGTATACAACGAAAGGCATATAACAAGTAAAAACTTCATACTCAATTTTATTGTATTTTATTTTTATAATTATTAATTTTACTATATCGCAAAAACATATAGTAATAAACCACCCAAGAATAAGTTACTCCTATGGCGCAATATAATGAAGTAAGAGCTAGAGGCAAAAACGGTAATTTTTCACCGAATATTAATTTGTGTATAATGGTTTCATACACTGTTAATACCGGCAAATTAATCACATATATATATTCGTAAAAGTAAAGAAAGTTTACATTGAACTTCCGAGAGAAAACTAGAAAACCTGCACTCATAAATACCAAAAGTACTAAAATCTTTAATGGAGTTAAATTACTTGGATAAAGTAAGGGTAAAAGGGCAGTGTGGCCTGCACTGCTTAAAATTAGATAAATTCTAGCATCATTCTTATCAGTTGCTGCTAGTACACTAAAATATACATAAGAATTAATTGATTATGTTTAATTAATTTCATTTCCTTTTTCATTTACTTACCACAGTGGTATAATAGCAGTTAAAATAGCTTTCTCATGTACATGCCAACCAAACATGAAAGAACACAAAACACAGAGAACTAAACATCGTACAAACTGCTTTGGATTCATATACTCTTTTTTACATAATAAGTAGTATAATGCAGGCTGTAATATATGCAATACTTTTATTTATTAATAATATTATCAACAATTGAAAAGCTTATTACTCACCATCATAGTGAAAATAGTTAATAGAAATGTTACAATTGGTGTAGGAGTTGGTAGAACTAAAAATGATTGTTCTTGCACTAAACCACCAGTCATGACTGCCGATCTTGTAACTTTTAACCATCCTAATTGCTTTAAAATTAAGGATGCTATTTTATCTATACCTATATACAATGCCCAAGCATTTGCTGCCCAGTATGCATGTACTAAACCCCTTTTGAATGGGAAGAGTCTTGAAATTATCTAAAATAATCATAATTACTTAAGGAGAAAGAATATGATTTAACATTATTATTTACCTGAGGTAATTGTGAGGCAAATGGGCCAAAAGAAATTATTAAAGTAATAATAACTATGCTTCCAAGCATATACAAACGTCTAAAGAATGAACCTCCATTCATGCAATATGATCTCAGTAGCCAGACTAAAAATGCTGGTGCCACGTACAAATAAATATGTTTTAGATTTAATAGCAAAGCAAACCACAGTGTTCCAAATAGGATAGCCTTCTAAAAAGTAAACTGCTTAGCCTTTATGTAGAAACAAAATGTTTCCTTATATATTTACCTGTTTATTTATTTTAGAAACATTTGCAATAGCAAGTAGAAGAATACCAAGTAAGAATCCATTGTATTGAAAATGTACATGATCCACTAGGAGTAATCCCATATTACATAAAGAAAAAACTATGAAGATCACATATTCATCAAAGGATGTACAAAATACTTTGCCAACTCTAGAGAGAATTTAAAGTATAGAATATATTTTAAATATTACTTTTCGAATGAAGAATGATAATAATGCATTAAGAACTTACTCTTTAACTCCATAAGCATATACTAAATCTAAAAATATAACAGTGCCTCTTTGGAAAAGGATAGTATTGGAGGATGCATAATTTAGATTTTCAACCTTGAGCATATTATGATCTATAAGTCGTGCTATATGACTGAGAAAGTATTCAAACCATGCAAACAATGGTGGATAATCCAATGTCCATTGTGAATTGGCATTCATGTACCATTCTTTGAGTGGCAAACTATGTGTTATGGCAAGCCAGTTGCGGTGAACTTCAAAATCTGTGGAATGACTAAAAATCAAATGATGCATATATGGTTACATTATGTGATCAAAGTATATACAGATAACAAAAAGTGATCAAAGAGGTATACAATTTATTTAAACACTAAAAAAAAACATACTATGTAGGCATTAGAAGTACTTTGAGGCACGAGACGAGTAGTAATACACGAAAAACAATTTTGTTTGCGTCCCATTCCTCCAACGTTGAATTCATTTTTTGCACCTTCTTCGGTGCAAAAACATCTTTATTACTCGAAATATCCATCGTTAAAAAGGGCTTTACGTGGCATTTTTCTACAACTTCGACAAATTTAGCGGTTACTCAGTGCTGCCAACCATTGTTGATTTAATGTTCGTCTTATATAGTAATTTTTTTACATAAATAGAAATGAAATATAAGTAAAAAAAGGGGATTTAATAATAGGGATAGAAAGAATTCATTAGACCATAGATAATTTTTTCTACAAAAAATAGTTCCATTGTTATTTAATTTATAACATCAGTATTATTAAATATCAATTTTCCATAATTTTGCTATTTTACAATGCAACTTACAATGTGGAAAAGAGAAATCTTCTTAATATTTAAAATGCAATTTCACGATGTTTAATCCTTTAAGTACCAAATTAGGAAGAACTGAACCAAATGAATCGGTAATAATTTACAAAATAAACACATTAGATTGTCGTGTAAGTTATTTTTTCGCAAAATTCCGAACAACATAAATACAAATGAAATTTATGATATAAATAAACAAGCAAATTATTTTTTTCGGTCATAACTTGCTTGTAAACACTACGAAAATCTGGCACTGAAAGGATTAAGAGAATTTTCCCTAATACTCATGGCGATTCTCATGTAACTACAAAAGACGTTATCTGTTCCTTTTAACACGTCAAGAAAACAAACGTTAGCGAGATATGTACATCAGTCGGTCGCAGTGATCAAGGACTGCGCTTCTAACAGACTTTTCGTAGCAAGAATGGAGCTGTTCATGATTGGGGTGCTCACTATATTCCCAGATTTCTTATTTGAAAATGGATAGAAGCTATCGATATTCATCTGAACGGAGTAGCTGTTTGATTTTCCAATGGGCGATCCGCAATTACCATTTATGTTCATCTTCAACTGATTCACATCATTCCGTAGTAGCCTGGCATAAAGCTCAATATGATTCCGACCACCATTATGAATCTCCAGTGTTGGTATCCATCGAAAGTAACATTGAGTCCAAAGTTCTAGATTCGCAACATTGTACAGGGGTTTTATCACACATTTCTCCTTGGAGTCTGTCTCGCGGGGATTGTAAAGGGGATTATCAAATAATAAAATATCTTGGTCGCTGAATTGCTCTCTCCAATCCCACACACTTCTTAGAACAAGAGGTTTCTCTGGATCCTAAAAGACATTTATTTTTAAGATTAATAAGAAGTTACTTATACGCTTACACTCCTTAAAAATGTTAGATATTAAATATAAGATTAATATTTCTATACTCTGTCCAATGAGTTGAAGACATCTAAATAAACCTAGTTTACTATGTTAGTAGTCATTAGTAAATTAAGAAGTTTGTTGTTTCCTTTATTAATTGTTGATTTTGATCATATTTATTTATGTTTCCTAACTCAACTCTCTGAACAGAGTGTATACTAAATACCATATTAAATACTAAGATAGTTATTGAATGCTAAAAGATTTTAAATAAATTACCGTAGCTGCCGCAACTCGGTCTTTCTCGCAGTTAAAAATGAACGTATCGAAAATGGAAACATGGGCAGCATCCCACAAAGTTGTCAGGTACGTTTCCGTGAACTCGAATTCCGCGGGAAATTGTTGACTCAATTGCCAGACACAGTCAAGGTATAAAAGGAGCAACGGAGACTATTGAGAAAAGAAAGAGAAGAATAAAATCTTTTGATTTATAAACAATTAAAATCAAATTAATTTACCTTCTCTGAAGT